CGAGAACAGGGACCCATCAGCCAGAAAGTGTAAAAAAAAGTGTGTACTTTTAGGGGTTGCGGGGGGTGCAGAGAAGCAGTGGCGACACAGAGACAGAGAAAGCCAGCTAGCCAGCGCAGGAACCTATCAGCCAAAAAGGGTAAGGAAATAGCATGCAACTGTAGGGAAAAAAAAGACAGAGCAGTAGTGGCAACACAGAGAGGGAAAGACAGCCAGCTAGCCAGCTTCGGGACCTATCAGCAAGAAGGCGCAAGAAAAAAGCGTGCACCCCTATTGTCGCTGGCTAAAAAAATAAAAACTCCCTTCAAGAAAGAAAGAAAACCCCCAAACTTAAAAGGATTTAATTTAGAAATCGAATGCAACAAGAATTTTCGCAAACGAATGTTATTTAAACAAATGGGAGCACTTTTTTGACCGACATGCAAACACACGACTCTCAAACCCATCTAAACTCAGGCACCACAATCACATAACCAGTAGGAAACTGGTGAAAAATTTTAATATTAAAATTAATGAAATTAATAGAGAGAGCAAGCGTGTACGAGTATGCCAAATGAGATGTTAGGCATTTTCCTATTGCCATGTCATGGTGTGTTACTGTATACAGTGTCCTCGTAAACCATGTATACATGCACGTATACATGTTTGTAAGTGTAACTTGTTCACAAAATTATAAATGCAACCATGAAAGTGTGCATGTATGATGAGTCTGTGTGTGTGTAATTTCTACTTTACTGTGCAAGTGTGTACATGTTTCCCTGTGCGAATGTGTTTAAAACACAGTAGTTAATGATAATACTATACAAACTAGTTAATACTATTATTTTAATAAAATAAAAAGTAAAAATTTTTGGAAAAATTAATGCATACTTGTAAAATTAATGCTAATATGTATATATGTCTCGTTTTTCACCCAACAATAACAGTTAGATGTATATTCGGCGCTCGTAACTGAATTCTAACGCATGCGCAATAGCAAGAATACGGGATACCGTGACGCAGCACTTCAGCGTCGAATACCTATAGTTTACCCACTATCGCGCGGTCAGTCAGTCTGTCAATACGCACTCCCTGCTTTTCGTATTTTTCTTTTGATTTGATCTTGCTTTATTTCAGTTCAGCTTACGATTGTATCCTTGATTATAAAGACTAAAGATAGCATACACCGTAGATAATAAGAAAAAACGTGTCCGTGTTTTATAATAAAATCGACAGTGTTGTACATTTGATTGCCCGATCACATACCCACACATCCATACTGCTAACAAGTTATAGGCCTTAAAAAGTGTAGTGTGGTTGTGTATTCAAGACCTCCACTAGCTGCCATTTTCTTTTTCTGTGATCAAGCCCATTTCGCGTTTACTCGCATTCTTTTTGCCCTCCGCGCTTTCTTACGCCCCTTTTCTTACAGGCCATCGACGAGGCGGCTTAGAGATTGACATCAGCCACTAGTAAGACCTAGCAGATCGGGGAGGTGACAGCTAGCAATGTGAGAAAGATTGTGAAAAATTTACAGAAGAAAAAAAGTAAAAAACTGATAATGATATTTATGATGTCTTTATCGGTCGTTATCTTGACATTATGTGTTTTATTTTTCGATGGTTCGAAACCGAAGTTGTATAAGAGTGGTTATAATTTATGTTATAGATATGATAAACATGACAGTAGATAGGATTTGTGAAGCGTTTTATCAAGCTAGTACTCTGTTATTCTCAAAAGTCAAGAGTCGACACGTGTTTTTCCTCGCATGAGGCAGGCTTGCATTGGGGTACGAGGATTTTCATTTAGCTGCTACAGCTATAGCTGCTGCTGAGGGGGACGTCTCAAAGCGGGGAGAGGGACTTTCTTTTCGGTCATGACTTGCGTTCGGTCAGACCGGGCGTATGTATTCCTTTCAGTAGGCTTGGTAGCTGATGGCGCACACAGAGCAGCCTCTTAGATAGACTTTTTTACTTTTCCAAGTCCCTGTACAGTGTGGCCTTGATCCTCTCCGTAGATTTTCACGCTCAGACTAGAGGTAAATGCCGACTCAAACCAAAATGCAGAAATTTAAAATTTCTAATTTTGGTGTAATGCGCGTCAGTACATCGTGAGTACAGGGATACAATTGTGCTCGATCGCATTGAAATTGTGCTACGTGCTACTATTGTGTGTGACTATAGACATATTACTTTTGCATGTTTAAGTCATCTGATGTATCTCGTCCCATAAGTAGTACGCATGCATTGAGTTCGTGTGTGCATGCTCACTCATGTTTCCCAGTGACACAAATAGTGTTAAAATGGTCACTGGGAAGTAATATACATAACTTGATCTGAGTTATTATAGGAGATATAAAAAACGATTACGATACAGGAGATCAGTTAAACTTGATCAAAAAATGTGGAGGTATAATTTTTACTATTTCTTAACACAAGGAGCACATTTCAGTTAAAGGTTCTATAGATAGATTAAAGATAGAAGATTTGAATACAATAAGTCACGTGCAAACAAAATTTAAGATAAATATAAACAAAGGAAACCTTTAACAACATGGAAAATTAAAGATTTAAGAAATAGAAAAATAAATTTGATTAATACCTCATGTAAAGATAAGAATAAAGATTTAAGAGATAGAAAAACAAAATTGATTAATACCTCGTCTAAAGACAAGAATAAAGATTTGAGAGATAGAGAAATAAATTTGACTGATACCTTATCTAAAGACAAGAATAAAGATTTGAGAGATAGAAAAATAAATTTGATTAAGCGATAGAAAAATAAATTTGATCGATACCTCATCTAAAGACAAGAATAAAGATTTGAGAGATAGAGAAATAAATTTGATTGATACCTCATCTAAAGGCAAGAATAAAGATTGGAGCGATAGAAGAATAAGTTTTATTGATACCTCATCTAAAGACAAGAAAGAAGACTTGAGAGATAGAGAAATAAATTTGATGGATACCTCATCTAAAGACAAGAATAAAGATTTGAGAGATAGAAAAATCAATTTGATTCATACCTTATTAAGGTAGCAAATCAATGAAATAAAAATAGAAAGATAGTTTTGATGATACTTTAACTAAAAATAGCAAAGATTTGAAATTAGAAAAATAGACTTGATTGATACAAGATTATTTTATCAAGAAATCAAATTAAAGCTTTGAAAAATAGAAAAATGGAGTTGATTGATACAAGATTATATAGATTTAATTAATACAAGATTATTCTTACAAGAAAGCACATTAAATATTTGAAAAAAAAATAATAATAAAATAAAAGATAGATCTGATTTTGATAAATAAGCCTGAATAAGTAATAGAAAATAACGAAAATAAAAGAATAAATAAATAAATAAAAAGATTCGATTAATAAACAAGCTAAAGATAGCATGTTAAAGGATCTGAACGATAGAAAAGATAATTTAAAGAAACAGATAGATAATTCGCATAAGAAAATGGCAGGCAGAAATAATGATCTTAAGATACAATTGACTAAAGAAGCCAGGAGCCTACAAGACTGATACTTAGGCGATTCAAAAGTTGATTGAAGATAAAGAGCAGACTTAAAATTTAATACTAGATAGATCATCCTCAGATTATGAAAACAGAGTATTTTTTTTTTACTTATCCTACGGTAATAGTGCAAAAATTAACGATATGAAAAGAAGTGATATACAGATGAAGGCGTATCAAATATACAACAAAATTGACACTATTAGATTTGATTCTGCAAAGCAAAGTGATACTCAATTTTGCGAATTCCTCGATGGACTAAAATGGATTTTAAATGGATTTTGATAGATTTTGAACTTGTCAATAAAACTCAGAGTTTTCTTGAAGATGAGAAAAGAGATGGCTTTTACCATAAGATTGTCAATAAAGTACCAGATGTGAAAATTGCAGATTCTAATACGCTGTTTAAAAGCGAGAATGGCTTGTCCTATAAATATTTAAGTCAAGTATAAAGAAGGTTAAAGTATTATAGAATTGCTTCGATCTAATGCATCGAGTAGTATGTTTGTTGTTGGACCCAAAACTTTGCTCTCTACGCGCACGGAGGGAACCAAAAATTTATGAAAGAAAATTGGTTAAATGCGCAAATAAAAATTCCTCCGTGAACTTGAGAGCGGAGGGAGAGAGGTGGGTTTCAGGTAGTAATAACAAAAACAAAATGGTCCTAGATAGAGTGATATGCACCAATATGCTAGCTGGGAACTTGATGTCGCTTCGTCAGCTTGTTAATAGATGCATATGTATCTATTTCGATGACCTTGAGATAGATATATTTGACCCACCCTCTAACGAGATGTTAATTTTCGATGCCTACAGATTTTTCACTGGATATTGGAACTAGTGCAAGATGGTCAGAGTACAAGCAACAACAAGAAGTGTAAAGAAATTATAGATTGCTTAATGATAGAATGTTCCTCTGTGGCAATGGCTGAGATGGTTCAGGAAGTCAGTGCCAATTATAGTAAGAGCTGACCTATAATCCCAAACAATGGATCTGAAAACGATTGTTTAGATACCGCTCAACAAAATAAGTTTGAGAAAACCATTAAAGATAGAAAAATTAATGATAGTAAAGAACTAATGATCAGTGAGATTTCAGAGGCTTAAAGTCCCTTTATATGAAGGTATAAAATACTTAAAAGAAATAGCAGAGCCATGCTCTGAAACGCAAGATTCGGGCATTTATCGTTGGAATATCTTAAGGATTGCAAAGAAAGTTTTTGGACAATAAAGATTTAATAACAGAAATAAGTCTGTGTTCAATCACTTCATTGCATTATGCAAGGTGTGTCATATTGCTAAAATTTAAAGATTGCCTTTGAACACTAGAAAAGAGAAGGCATCGAAACAAATCATCCTAAAAGATACAAATTCATGATAGTATACACAGACGACTACTTAATATTGACGATGGCATACCCTGTGAAAGTGAAAAGTAAAGCAAGAAATTGTATGGAAAAATTCGCGACCAGCGCACGAAATCTACTGGACTTTAATGCAAAGATGTGCCATTACAGAACTGACCAAGGTACAGAGTTTGCAGGAGGTCGAACAGTGGAAATTCTCCAGAGATTGGGAGCTGAGTCTCAACTGGTCTGTCCAGACAATCTTCAATACAATGGCGTTTCAGAACGAATAAATCGCACATTGCAGGACAAAGTGTGAACCTACATGTATGACTCAAGGTTTAGGGAGAACATGTTGGATCTAACCTTAGGTGCTGCAGTATATACATATAGTCGCGCACCACACCTGTCCAACAAAATAACAGCTCCCTTAGAAAATTTAACCCCTAATTTAAAGATAGAAATAAATCAAATAAGATTTGGTCGTGTGACCTTTATTAAGATACATAGGAACACTGGAACCATATACAACCCACAAGGTATACGAGTAGTACTGGTTGGCTATACTACTACCAGCTACATTTTCCTAAGACCAGAAGATGGATATTTTATGAGGTTCTGGGTATAAGATTTCATGAAGGACTTGGATTTAGAAATGTCCGGGGGAATGATAAAATAGCAAACTGAAATAATCATAAGACAGACATTAAATAAGATGAATGGTTCATTAAGTTTAGTAAAGATAGTCTTGAAGTATTATTAGAAACAGAGGGAAAACAAGGAGTCAAAATAAAATGAGGACGACCGAGGAAGAATAAAGAGCTTGTTCAAGAAAACTTCAAAGCAATCTACGAAAAATTGGAATCGATGTATAAAATCAAGTATGGAAAACTGTAGATAGACCAACTATGAATGTTGAAGGAAGCAAGCCAAACATCATAAATTCCAGACGAGTCCTAAAGAAAAAGATAGACGAAGATGGGAACCACGAAATTTAAAGTGAGGTTGGTGATTCGTGGGTTTAAAGAGAGGAATAAGTACGACTTGCAAGAGACTTATGCTCCTGTATCTGGGTTGGCTCTTGTGAGATCGGTAATATTAACTTTTAATAAATTTAACTTTGAAACTTGTCTGCTGGATGTCAAGACAGCATTCATGAATGTTTCAATCAAGGAAGAAATAAATATAGAGTTTCCTAAAAGTCTGCTTGACGAAGATTAACTTAAGAAAAATAAAGTATGTAATCTAGAAAAAGCCCTTTATAGACTCAAGATCAGCTTGAAGAAATGGAACGAGTGTTTTCGTGTGGCTGCACTGAAACTAGTATCACAAACGCACACCAGTGAAACTTGCCTTTACGCATGGAAAGAAAAAGTTATCCATTTTATCTTGATTCCATATGAAGATAGCATGATAGCAAGAAATTGGTAAGTAAACCAAAAGAAATTAAGATTGGTCTGCGGTCTGACTTTGAGATATCAGATCTTAGCGAGGTTGGCACTTTCCTAGTTATCACAGTATAAAGAGATAGAAAACATAATTCAATTTCACTTACGCAAACACGATACTTCGAAAAAAATCTGGAAAGGTTTGGATTTACTGACTCAAAACCACAAAGAACACCAATGGTGACAAATCAAGCCCTGAATCGGCAAAGAAAAGACAGATAAGAATCGGAAGAAACTGGAGAACTGAAAAAAACTAAAACTGAAGAAAATGTACCTCACAGAGAAGCAGTTAGAAGCCTGCTGTATCTGGCTAACACAGTCAGACCAGACATCTCACACTCTGTGTATTTTATTAAGCAGACACCAAATTTACCCAACTGATGACTAGAGAGTGGTAAAACGAGTCCTTCGACATCTGTAACACACCAGAACTCTGGGATTAACCTACAGAGGCCAGAAAAATAAGCTGGAAGTCTTTTCAGATGAGAGTTTAGCAGACTGTAAAGGCTCAATTACGACATGTGGATTCGTCATAAGATTGTATTGCAATACAGTTGCCTGGAAGACGAGAAAACAGAGTTACGTTGCAATCTTAACCTGCGAGGTAGAATACGTGGCGATGTGTGATGCAAGGCAGGAGCTGATAGAATTGGAACACTCAATCAGCTTAATACTGTTATACATTCTGTTGCCTGTGGACCTTTGGTGTGACAACAAAGCCACCGGAGCAAGTGCTGATAAAGATGGTGGCAAAAGACTGAGACACATTCCAAGATGAATGCTCACTACGTTAAGGAATGTGTATATAGAGGAGAAATAATCGTTGAATGGATTCCATTCAAGGAACAACTAGCAGATATTTTTACAAAACCCCTGCCATTTGAATTGCATGAACGACTAACGAAAGAAATTTTCAATGTTAATCAATGTAAATTGCATGATAATCAAACTTGAACTTGAGATAGTAAAATTAATCAATTGATAATAGATAAATAACGATAGTAGACCTGCCAATTAATATATTTCTCTGTGTATGTTTTAGCTCGTCACAACCAACCCCAATAAGTAATCAAGAAGCCGACCTGTTCCACATCTTTAGCTGATTACTTATTCATCTAAATATGATTACTCAGAGTTAATAATCCAATATGTCTTTCCTTTTGTCATTTTATATTGTTTTGTTAAATTCAGATACGAACGGGAGGGAGTGTTAGATGTATATTTGACGCACGTAACTGAATTCTAACGCATGCGCAATAGCAAGAAGACGAGACGCCGTGACGCTGCAATTCAGCGTCTAATACTTATAGTTTACCCACTCTCACGCGGTCAGTCAGTCTGTCAATACGCACTCCCTGCTTTTCGTATTTTTCTTTTGATTTAATCTTGCTTTATTTCAGTTCAGCTTACGATTACATCCTTCATTGTAAAGACTAAAGATAGCATACACCGAAGATAATGAGGATAAACGTGTCCGTGTTTTATAATAAAATCGACAGTGTTGTACATTTTATTGCCCGATTACATACCCACACATCCATACTGCTAACAATAACCTTCAAAATTAGTTTAAAAAGTTCCCATGATGTTATACATGACAAATGTACAAAAAAAACAGAAATATACCGCCGTAACGAGCGAAAAGAAGTAAATATTGAGCTCACATGTATTTACAATACTTGATTTGATTCCTGATAAAAAGTTAAAAATTTGGAAGTATTCTACAGCCTCTGAAGTAATGAGCAGTATGTTTTATCAAAGGTTATCAAAATTACAAGTAATTGGACTCTTTTTTTTTAACCAATACATAATAACATAGTAACATTATTCGTACATAATAAATATTTTGCATGATTTGATACTACTTATATTTTTTACATATTAAAAATAGGAGTGTCGTAGTCAATACTCAAAATAATTGATTGTTGTCTTACTCGACTAACATGGTACAGTATTTTATAGGAGCTTGTGCGTACTATTACAAGTATAATTATTTTTGGTGGTAAAAAATACAAACACTATAATATTACACATTCGGTTTGTTAGTTTTTACAAAACCATAAAAATAACATTCATATGGTACAAATTATTTTGAAGTCAATATGTAAATCCTTATTCATTGATCTTATAACTGTTATAACATTAGAATTTATCTGAAATACCAAAAAAATTTCAAGTTACTAAGGATTTAATTAGGTTTTTAGCTGTGGAGTTATAAGGTCTCGTTGCGATCAAAAAGATAAGCTTATAATAAAATAGTTTTAAAAAGAATACGGTGTTTTTTTAAATTTCAAGTTTTTTTTTCAAAGTTGGCCGCTATGATGTGTTACGTTGGCGCGACGTACTATTTGAGTTTAAGCTTTTGCTTAATAACTCGGGACACACGCTGGGCACGTTAGTTGGACACGGAGCTAAAGGGACAGTTCTATCTAACGACGCGATATTTGCAAAGGGACTACGACTGTTTTAACAACTTGAAGCGATTAGTATGTAAGGAATATTCCAATGCTTGTAACTTGCGCGCGGTGCGCCTAAAATTGGTCGGTTTTATCCAGAGCAGTGTACTAAAGAGTGTCTCGTCCGTAATCTAGACGATGACAGCGCCGTTACGGAAAAAGGGTTTTGTTTTTCGCGACCGGACTCGGATGTATTAATACCGTTGCGAGTACCGACTTTCGCTCTAATTTTGTTAGTTCTTGCCCCGATAGTACCACTACTGTGGTATATGGTGGCATGCACAAAAAGTAACTTATCAATTTTCAAGAATCCAAGGGTACCAACGCCGTGGTGAATACTGGTGCACGCGCAAACAACTTTAAATAATTTCCAAGGATCCTTGGTTACCCATATCGGGGCGGAAATTGGTGCACGTGCAAACAACTTAAAATAATTTTTAAGGATACTTGGTTACCAACATCGTGGCGGATTTTGGTGCACGCGTATTCAACTTTAAATATGGACTTGGCCGAAAAATATTACAAACGAAAAAGAGAGAGTACTAGAAAATTATGACTTTCACACTTACTTTTATTTAAATATAACTGGAGTACACGGCGAACCAGTACGAGCCGAGACGAGTAAAGTGGTTTTTGCTACACACTCGTAGAGGACTGAGTTACAGCAGAGGTGGACTCTAACTATTCAGTCGACTGTTCAAGGGGTCCGAGTTAAGAGAGTCTCTGGGCCTTTTTATAAGGAGTGGCGGACCTAAGTGACGTGCAGGTTCGATAACAATGCAGGAGAGCTTACAAGGAAAAAATCTTTTAAAAATGATAATAGCCAAAAATCCCATTGGCTAGAACTGCCCTAGTATAGCCACTTAGAAATTGGCACTTCCCACATCCAGTTCACTCTCCTCTTCGCGCTAAGAGAAGAGAAGGAGATTTACTTGCTCATGCCCTTCCTTTCCCTTTTACATACGGAGTTGACAGGATTTTAATATAATTTAACCTTTACATTATGACAGGATATTATTAATATTTACTCATGCTGAACGCCGGTCCTTTGTTCAACTAAACTCAATGCAAAAAAAGAGGTGAAAATTGCTTAACGATTCTATTAGAGCTTGGGTGAACAAGCAACTATTAATTTATTAGTTAATACTACTACTTAACACCAAAACGGTGGCTGCTGCCGTGAAAACTTAAAATTATAATATTAGTAGTGTTATTT